CGTGGGCTCTATAAGGCCTCGCTCCGTTGCTCACCACATGCACAAACAAAAGAAAAAAGAAAGTCGATGTATGTTTCCGTGTTCTTGGCTATATTCATTGCTCTTTGGACCCACTTCGACGTCCTCGTGTTTCCACATCATGGGGCCTCGCTGCACTACTCTCGACATGCACAAAAGACAAACATCATGGCCGTGTATCTTTCCATATTCTAGCGGAAGATTCGCGATCGTTTTGCACATTTCGAGAGTAGTGCAGCGAGGCCCATATGGTACTTCAAGATACGCAGAATCCTCGACAGAAACCACTATTTTCGCATCATTTTCTTAAAATGAATAAAAACTGCTACGAATAAATCTGAAATGCATTTTTCGGATTTAAAAAATGCGGTAAATGGTGTCACACCGTTGAGGTTTCTCAACTCAACGGCCGTAGGTGGGACCAGACCCACCTACAACGGCTCATATTCCTTGCACAAGGCCTGCACTTAAAAAAAAACAAAAAAAAAATAGAAACGAATGAATGGCATGACTTCTTCATTTGCAACATTACCTGGAAAAAAAAGTCGGGAGTTCTTCTCGCAGTCAGGTCAATAAAATTGTTTTTTTTTTTGTTTTTTTCCACTTCCTTTTTTCGGCCTCTGAGCCAATTCTTCAGCATTGCATTTCCTCCCCCCCCCCCGTCCCCGTCCCCATCCCCGTTCCCGTCCCCGTGCCTGTCCCTTATCCCTTCCTTCATCTCTCATCATAAAATTCCCTGTTCCCCACCTGAAGAATTAATGACTAATTAATTCTTCAGCATTACATTTTTGTTTTTCCCCATCCCCGTCCCCGTCCCCGTCCATGTTCTCGGCTGGTTTCCTGCAGGAGGATCGACAATGAGAAAGAAGTAGGTCGGAGCCGTTGATGACATCCCACTGAGTAATTAAAGGCTAACTTAATAAGTAATGGCTGATTAATGACTAATCTAATGGCTGATTAATGGCCAATTAATGGCTAATATGTAGCGCCACTAGCACCGACAGGTGCCTTGTAAAAAAAAAAAAAGAAGAAGTAGTCAATTGCTAATTAATGGCTAATCTATGGGTTACTAATGAGGTGAATAATGGTGGAGTAATGGGTGATTAATGGATTTATTAATGGTTGGATGGATGATTGATTGGCTGATGGGTTGTGATGACAACCAGCTGACGCTCTCCCAACTTGGAACAGGAACCGTCGGATCAGATCGGAGATCTGAATGATTGCGAGCTCCACACGTGGCTGACAACAATGATGAGGTGTAGTTGCTCGTCTCTTTCTTCCAGCAAAGACCTTTTTTCTCTCTTTTTTTTTCCCCGCTTCGGTTGGAAACTGGCAAGCTAATATAGTGTAGTTAAAAAAAAAAGAAAAAAGAAAAAAAGAAAAAAGGAAAGCATGTGGCGTCTGACTGGTACACCCATGAATTGTTGATAGACAAACAGACCTGAATTCAAAACCTGGCTTAGAATCCTGACAACAATACATGAAACTTCCCTTTTTTTAACAAACAGCTCCACCTATTGGTAGGGACAATACATGAAACTTTGATAAAAGTACCGCTCCAAATTCAGATAACTGGTACAGGCTGTCGAAAGATTCTGGTTTTTTTTTTTTTTTTTTTTTTTTTTTTTTTTAGAGTTTCTGAGAACAGGAGCTTATCTGTTTACATTAAAATGATTGCATTTTATTAAATTATTTCATATTATTTTGTAACTTTAGTTATCTGCGAGGATTGAGCCCTCGTGTGGCCCTGTTCGGGTACATACACGACCTGGGATTAGGCCCCAGACGAGCCCTCAGCAAATCCTCTGCCCGCCATAAGTGAAGGCGGGCCTGTGCACTCGCGTGAGGCCTATTTTCTTCATTTCTGTATATGGGGTACCAGACAGTTGCGTCGTGCCAGCTGGTTACAGAGCAGCGTGAGCCTCCCCAGGCTCTTTCCAGAACCTGCTGCTGCGCCAAGCAGTTGAGCCCAGGGCGCACACGGGTGGGGCCCTGGGCACTCACCATCCAGAGTCAACACCTCACACACTGGGCGTGGACCAATGAGAATGCAGTTGCTACGTCACAAACATGCCACGAGCCAATGGCAGAGCAGCGAACACTTGGAGGCTCGTGGACGGTGCAGCTTGAGGCTGCGGGCCCCTGTAACTCTCTGAAGGGCCCAGGACACAGACACTTTCTGCCAACGTAAAGCTCCTGGGCCCCTGCACGACAGGCCCAGCCTAGCCCAAAAAGCAGGGCTCACTTTCCATAAAGGAAAGTGAGCGCGCAGGCGCTGGGCATGCTGGCCTAGGCAGGCATAGCGGCCACGCTGCTACATTGCTGAGCGCTGCTGCGATAGCGCTAGCCGGCCAGACGAGCGCACGGGCGCAGAGGTGAGAGAGGGGCGCTGCTGTGGCAGCGGGCGCACGGCGGCCATAGCCGGGCTGCTGGGCGCAGGCACGGTGATGGCGATGGTGGTCTTCAAGTAGGAGGCGCAAAGAGAGAGGAGTCAGGGGTGACGAGGGGAGGAGTGAGACACGTACCTGGTGAATGCTGGCGGTCTGCATTGGCGATGACGACACGTACATTGGTCTTCAGCTTCGATGTGTTCCCGTTACCTGAACTTGGATAGGATAGGTAGGCTGGGCGCTGGGCGCTGGGCACCACTCAGTAGGAGCGACATTGGATACTATGTTGGTGTGGCCAGAGTGCGTCGGTATTGACATTCGGGCTCACTGCAATGCTCTTATTTGGCTGGTGTCTTGGTTCATTGTGCTCTCTGCTTGGTACATGACTATCTGGACTACTTCGTGATTTTGCAATTTGGATTTCTGTCTATCGCTCTCGCTCATATTCCTTGCATATCGAATAATATTGATTTATCTACTTAGGTCCGGGTGTCACTGTCTGTTTCAGAGCTTGGGAAAATGCAGAGGAGGCATGGGTGTGGGAGACTTAGATGCTATACTGCCACGTCAGCTCTGCCACCTGTCCTCCTCGTTTTGTCATCTAGTGGAAGGAACAAGAACTCTTTGTACGACTCTTTGGCTGCTTACAATGCAATTTCCTAAAAAAAAAGAAATGCAATTTTGCAAAGTTTGCCAAGGATCCAATCTCCCCTTTCTTACTCTTCTATCGCCGCCTCCTTCCCTCCCTCCTGCCCCCTTCTTTCCCCCCCC